CCATGGAGGAAGCTGTGGTTCTTCACCCGGTCGTGCAACCAATAGACTTCCTCAGTGGCTCGACGGATGACAGGTGACAGTGATTTTTGAAATACCCTGATGCAGTGCGGCGGAAAAGTAACTCACAGGCTCTTTTGGCACCCCAGCACCCCAGTTTTCATGACAGCTTGTCCATGCGACATCAGACCCAAAAACAAAGTATATTTTCATTGCAAAGACCTGGGATCAGCTTGAATCTTCCGGCCAGCAATGACACAAGCAGGATGCCCGGAGGTGCTCAGAATTGCCAGCTGTTGGAGGCCTGCCACCTGCATGACATCTTCCAGAAGGCTTTGGTAGAAACCTGACCATTGGATGTTTCCAAACCCGATGGCCAGGGCCGAAGTGGTATACCAGAGAAAACACGAGCCGGGTGAGACTCAGAGTGGTCAAGAGAAATAAAATAAAACCGAAAAACGAAAAACATTGCACTTAGCGATGTCATGGATGACGAGAAACGGGCCGGTCTGGCATATGGCCATAGATCTATCAAAAAATCTCGGGGGCCCTGGTCCTCGTCCACGAGGCCGTCACAGTCCATGGTATCCTCGTCAGCGCCCGCTTCAGCCTCATTGAAAATGGCCCACTGGTCATCTTCGCAATCACTCTTGTTCAGCTCTTGTGCAGTATCGTGTGGCTGGCTCCCATCGCCTCAATGTCTGATGGCAACGCATTAGTGCAGAGTCGGCCAAACAAGCGAAATCGAGACGATGATTCGGAACACCACAAACCGAAAAACATAAGAAAAGGACCCCCTAAAACTGTAGGTCATGGACTGCTAAGGATTGTGGGTTGTGGTGCCAGACAAGCGGCTGATCAGAAGGGCCATTTCCGTCGATGACCGGAAGCAGCACATTTTCGACATGCAGCGCAACCGTGGCTGCTCCATCGACTCAGACCTGTGCTTCAGCAACTCCGCCGAATAAGGGAGAGGAACAGAGGCATCACTGTGGACCAAGATAAGGAAGGACGGAAGAGCTTTTCCAAGCCTCTGAGTTGGCCCCGCCGTGAGCTGTATCAAGACCGTCCGACAACTTTTGAAGAGCTGCTGGCACCGTTTCATGAGGGAATCCATCAAATCGAGCCTTGGGCCAAGGACTATACCAATGGCATACTTTGACAAGTTGCAGTCTGTCAAAATGTCTTTGCAAACATCGATGTAGGTGGAGTTCACCTTCAGCCTGCTCGTCCCAGCATCGATGATCACAGCCAGCTTGTGGCCCACCAGCACCTCGTGACTAGTGGCCAGTGGTCTGAGAATAAACATGAATCAACATGTGACTTTAATCATGCGAGGACATGAAACCATCTGACGATAGGTTTCAGATATGGTTCAGCCGCCCCACAACATCCGCAAAATAAATAGGCCCTAGGTTCGATTTTTATGGACATGACCTCCGGATTCCCAACCAAATCGGTGCTATTTGGTCTCCACATCCAACATGATTCTAGGCCTGTGACTACCTCCATCCCCAAATGAGCAAGGCACATCCCTGCTGAGTGCTTTCAAGTCGGCCGCACTGGTGAATGGATGCACGTGATCAAATTCCGACAAGGCATGCGTTTTGGCAGCCGCCATGTCAGGATCCTCCACGGCCAAACCGTCTCCAGACTTTGCAAGCATGTCAATCGTGCCATCAAAATCATCACTCTCCGGCGGCTTCTCCGGTCCACTCTCTTCCTTTGTTTTGGTCTCGGTAGTCCCCCC